GGGGGAAGCGCCCGCCCCGCGGCCCCTCTGCGCGGGGGCGCCGGGAGGTGCCTCCGCGGGGCCGCAAACAATAACAGGGAAGTTGTAAAGCGAACAAAATCGAAGAGCCCGGCTCTCCTGGGCGGACTTAGTGCCTTCGATGCCTCCATGAGCAAAGCCTGTAATTAGTTTTATTAATTTCTTTTCTTTCCGACTCCAAGAGATCGCTCTTTTTTTCAATATAGAAGATTATGATTTTTTTCCCCCTGGAAAGGCATTATCAGAACTGGTGGGAATATTTTTTTCTTTCTGTGTTTTGGAGAATGCAAAACAATATTCTGCTTTTTCATTAATGCCTAGTTAGTCTGCTAGGTGGGTTTATTATTCGTACTATTTTAACATGCAGTGGTAAATCCATGCTGTTAAAATAGACTACAGAGATAATTTATGGGACCTACGAGTAATGTCTTTAATTTTGTCTCATGTATTCCCTTTGTCTGTTGTCTTGTAATTTATAAACCCAACTGCACACCGCTGTTTTGAGGATTCGCTACATGGCAGCGAATGAAGGAACAAATGTAGTGTTACCAGGGTGCTGGGCACTGCCCACGGGCTCGAAGAATACCTTTTCCATCAGATTTTATGCCTCTGTGGTTTCAAACATAGGACCAGCCCTTTGGGGTGGGGAGAGGAGCTGCTGCTGGGGCTGGGGCAATACACGGTCTGCTCTGCTTGGGCTGGTGGGGCAGTTGCAAGCAATTGCAGCAGGTGACCAGCAGCCGCATCAGGACCTTATTTTGCTTTGAATTCACCTGATGGCTCTGTCTAGGGGAGCGTTTAAAAAAACTGAAAAGCACATCAGGGATGTGCTTTTGAAATGACTCTCCCAAACACCCCGCCACCACCTGCATCCCCCAACACACACACACTTCGGTTCGCATCCCGGTGTGGTTTCAAACAATTCCTCTCACAGTCAGCTAAACCAGATGTGCTTCAGCTGCAGGATTGGACCGAGGCTAGTTGAGTACACCTCCAAAATGTGTTTAATGTAAATGTCATTTTTTCAGCGCTGCCTGTTTCGCTCTACACTTCATCTCCTCTGTAGCTGCTGTTGGACAAAAGAGGGCCCTGCTCCACAGTCAGAGCTTTGTGAAATTGGTTCAGTAATTAAGGATGGGCATGTGTAAAGGTGAGAGTATCCTAAAAAGTGCTAGACTGAACACAGAAGTGAGTTTTTCATGTTCTCCCATTTGTACTGGAAACTGTGTCTCGGCACCATACCTTACTATCTTTGGAGCAGTTTTATTTCTTGGCTAAAAGGGTTTGGCAACCCTGTGTTGAAGTTTCCTTTTGAATCTGCTGCAATGTGTGCAAGATTTTTTCTGTGCAGGAGTAGAAACTCAGTATTTCCCAGAGGAGTCACTCGTGTGTGCATGCACATCCACACATATTTGCAGCTCTCTATTTTGTCCTCTCATTTTTTCCTGTCTGCTTCAACTCACCCCAGTGCTTAATTTTCTGCACCTTGTCAGCTTCTTTGATCTCTTTGATCTCTTTGAGTTTCCTTTCAATGACTGCTCCTCAGAATCCACATTCTCTGATCAATCTGCTGCTTTCTAGGATCAGAAACCATGGGCAAGTATTTTTGTGTCATAAAACACATACATATTGGTGTACTGCGCCTGCAGATAAGACTTTGGACAGAAAATCCGCAAAGGACTTGCAGTGCCTATATATCACCTGGGCTGGGGCCTAAAATTATGGTGCTTAAACGTTCTGTGTGCTTAACTTCTAAGCCTCAAAGGAACTGAACTCCACAGGCACAAGGGATGGGTGCTGGCGGCGGTGATGTGCTATCTCTGTGACTGTGCTTTTAAGGAGGGCATTGACCTTTTGCATAGCTTTTGGGAAAAAAAAAATTTACTTTGGTGCTTATCTGCTAAAGATAATCCAGTCTGTGGATCTGGAGTGGATGGAGGAATGGTTGCGCAGTTCCTGAGCTTGGAACCTAAACAGCAGGGCAGAGTTGAAGACACACCTCTGACCTTGCTTGTCAGAGGCTCCTTGATTTGGTGACTCCTTGCTCAGTGTGCTGGCATTTGTTATCCCATTTTGAGATATTCAGCTACTGTGCCCATGTCACAAAGGGAACGCTGTGGATACCGCAGTTACAGCTGTGCATGAACATTTCTGAAAGTCAACAGGGATGCCTGCACTGTTAAATACAGCATCTCCCTGGGGTCATTCCCAGGTCGCAGTCACTTGCTCCTGAAGATTGCATAAGTACTTGCTCCTTGTAGATTCTCTTTTGGAGTAAAACTCTACCCTAGACAAAACCCGGGTGTGGTTGTGGGGCCGGTTCACTCCAGGTGACTTCCCCATCTGAGTCCCCACAGAGATCGCAAGGAAGTAGGTGTGAATCTACATGAGGTCGGCTCCCTCTGCTCTACACAGCCCTCCAACACTTTCCCAGCGCACCTTCTCAATATATTGTTGAGTGCAGGAACACACATCCACAGTTTCACATCATAAAAATACTATTCTAGTGGGTTGCAACATGGCTCGTAGGATATTTGAGATGCTTGAGACTTTGATTGCCCATAATAGACACTCTAAATAGCAATTTCTCTTTTAAGGCCAAAAATCCCACCCTCACGCAGGGCTCTTTGGAAACCCAAAGCTGCATGGCTGTATAGTCCATTGTTGTATACAGAACACAGAGGGGACTGTACCTCTTGGCTTAGAGACTGTGAACCATCTATAGAGCAGGTGCGTTTGTTAGTCTATCTGACTGTGTAGCTGATATGATCCCGGGACCTTTGTAGTGCTAGCTCTGATTGCTTTAAACTTAAGCTCTCTAGTTTTGAGAATCAGGTGTCAAAGATATTTTGTTGCCCCAATACTGTATCATCTTGTTGTTCCAATGCTATCTTATCTTTAACCTTACACACATCTTACACCCAGAGATTAAAAAGCTGATGTTGATTTGAAATCAGTATTCAGCCTTGCTTGGATGTGAAATGCTGTGTTCCCATTGTTATTAAAAGATACCCAGTATGAGAAGAAACAAGTCGTCTTGTTATACATTTATATTTTTTCTTAGAGAGTAGTGCTTCTGAGTAAGACAAGATTTAGTATCATGTTCTGTAAGCATGTTGTGTTTTGTAGGTATTCAGCCAGCTGATGGCTATGACACCCTTGAATTATTTAATAGCTTCCATTTCTCTTTTCAGTAGAGTTTTATGAGAACTGAGATAAACTATGCTCCATTTGGCATGTAAGCACTCTACTGCATCATAGACCTGGCAAACTAGAGTGCTTAAACACCATGGTGGAATTAGGGGCACTGGAGGAAGGTACCACTTCCTAGTGAAGTCCATGGAAATCCCTTCATGAAGTTCTGTAGAAATCAGTCATGCCCTTAATTGAGGGCGATGTGTGACCTGAGAGGTCCTCGATGGATGGTGTCCTTCCATGACAATCACAGCTAAGCCTGCTAAGGAATTTGGATTCAGAATGGCACCATTTTGTTTGTTGCCTCTTTGTCCTCCACTGGAAGCTGTATCCCTGAGTCGGGCACCAAGTTCTTGTAAAGCCAAGAATGCCACCTAAAATGAGATTCATCAAAGCCAGCATGCCTGAGGTAGCTGGTGGGGAATAGGACAGAGTTAGTGTCCCGACAGCTGTTGGAAAATGGCGCTTCCTTTTACTTATGTTGCACAGCCTAATACTCACCCAAGGTTAAGTGCTTTAATGAGGTTGGCTGTTTCTCACGCAGAAGGGGAAATGGTGCCACATCAGTTAATAAAAAGTATTAATATTTCAGGTTGCTTCCTTGGGGTGTGAAAGACCAAGGTTGAAGTCTCTCATCTCACTGAAGGAACTTGAACTGATACCTCCCAAGAGAGTACTGAAA